TGCTGAATCTTCATTTGAATGTGTGCACCCTGACTGCAGTCTGTGATGTTTCCGTATTCAAAAAATTGCTTTTTAAGTGTGATCAGTTAAAATAGGTTTTGGAATCCCCAAGAGAGTTCACTAAGCAGTCTGTGTAAGACAGTACATGTTTATTATTTTCCTTTTCTCAGTAACTATGTACCCTTAGAATAACTTTACTGAATGAGCCACTTAAGATTAGATTTCAAGGATGTTTTCAGCCTAATTATCACTGTTGAAAGACATATCTCAGTTTTCTGTATACACGGCAAAGAAAACTTAATCATTAATTGATTCACGTTTTATGTAGGTACTTCAATATTCAAGCTATCTTTAATCAAATTAGTTGTTCTTTAAAAAAGGCTGCGAGTTAGAATTCTTAAAACCTTCTTAGGAATCCCGATGCAGAACTGCTTCCTTTCCAGGAATTAGTGTGCCAGTATCAAATAAGGAAGTGAGCTTTCGTTAAAAAATAGCTTCCCAACTTGCAATAATGTTCATTCTCTTACTCTTCCTACTGCTCTTACTCTTCCTGCCTCTTGAATGTATATTTTCTTTAAAAGCCTCAGTTCAGTTAGTAATGGGCACAGCAATCCAGCACTTCCCGTGTTTAGCAGAGATGAAAAGATGTATTTTCTTTTGCGAGCTGCATTGTTCTGCAGTTGGGTGCATTTCACTCCCATTGTGCAGTTCTTCACCGAGTGAAAACAGAACTCTTCTATCCCTGGGGACAAAGAACAAGCTGTTGTGTGGGGAGGAATATCTACAAAATCGTAAATCTTTTCCTTTCTCTTGTTTATTCTTCGTGCCATTCAAGCACATTTAGAGAATGGCCAATTAACTCCAGACCCATGGCAGATTCTGATGGGCCAGAATTCTCTTATCTAAGAGGACACAGCCAAACTTCCAAGTACTTTCTAGTTGAATGCAGTGTGTCGTTTTTCTTGCTCCTGAATTCATAAAGCACCTTGTGGAGTTCCCAAAATGATACTTCTTTTTATTAGACAAACTGAAATTTTCTCTAATTGATGTACACATCACCAGCAATATTGTAAACTGCAGGGAAAAGGTATATCAGATTCATTTCATTGTGTGTCCAGTTCTTTATTAGTGTGAGTAAAACTGTTTAAAGATATTTGTCCTTTAAGAATTAATCTGCTAGCTGTACATTGTGCATCACTGTATATTGAAATATATAGGGAGCAAGAGTTTTACAGATTACTTTGCTATGGTAAAAACATATACTGCAAAAGTAACAATTTTTAAAATACTCTAATCAGTGAAGAAACACACTTTTGACTGTGATGTGGTATCCTCTTAGTAAAAACACAGTACAAACTAGGGGGGAGGAAATTCCGATATTAAATATCAGATCTAAACTATTAAACCATAATGTAATATTGTTATTAACATCCATACACTTTATGTCCTATCAGTTCCTGATGCATGAAATTTAGATGACCTAAAAGCATAAACTCCATTATAAAAAAAAATGCTTTTATATTTCTTCATGTTGACAAGTCATAAGTCTGAAAGTAAATTATGTTGATTGTATTTTACTTTGATACCTCATTTTGCTGTTTGAATTGTAGGAAAACTATATATTTTAAGCTGCAGGTCTGCAAAGAAACATTATAATTAATCCTAATAGTACAGTGCAAGGATCAGGTACTGCATGGATTTGTCTTTTCACATTAAGTAACACATATATGAGAAGAGAGTTTAAAAAAATATCATGTCACATTCAGGCAAGTTCTACAAATTTAGGTTATTATACTAAATTTTGGAAACATTTTTAATGGTACTTCTGTTTACTTTCTCTGCGTAGGTCACAGTTTTCATAGTCTTAGGTGGGAGGTTTGCCTCAGAAAGAGCGATGGACCCTGTATACATCCGTCATCTCTTTTCCTTGTAATACTTGCTGTTACTGACAGGAGTTGGTGAAACGCGCTGCGTGCTGGATAGCGGTTTGCTTCCTTTCCTGATAACGCTCCTCGTCACCTTATTAAAGCCATGAGATCCTGCGTTTTGGAACTAGGGAAGAATCTTGCCTGTCCCAGAGAGGAGAACATACAAGGCCATCAGCAGCTCTGGGCCATGTTTCATTCCCCATGAAAAATGCTATTAACATCAGATTACTTTTTATCAGTCACAGACAAATCAAGCAGGAAGAACAGAATGATTTTAAAGTTGGAGTATATTTGCTCCACAAATATTGGAAGAAATGAGAAGTGGTGAAAAAGGACATAACAAAAATGGGACACAAGATGGTTTAACTGGGCTCTGAAAAATAAGTTTTGTCCGGATGATTTTTTCTGGAATTTTTAGCTCTGTCCTTTTGGGGGAAAAGAATAACGTAAATGCCAAAAAGAGATGGACAAAAAGTAAGCTCTGTATCCTATCTATGAGAGTCAGACGATGCGTGTCATGCTAGTTTTTACAGTCATAGTCTACGTCTTCCACTGATTAAAATCAAATTTGACAGTAACACAATGTAGAGGTTTAACTGACAGCACACACAGCACATTTGCTAGTCATAACGCCACAGTTTAATGACTGACGCATGTGGGAAGCTAATTCGGATTTTTTTCCTCAATGGGATAAACGAGCATCCAGTTAATACCAATCATGAATTCAAGCCATGTGACAAAATTGATGCTACATACCCTGTTCTTGTTTTGCATATTCTGCAAATTGAACTGCAGGAAAAGAGCCAGTTTGTACACACATCCGGAGCGAAAGTTCATTCTGCTTTCTGACACATCCACCAGTTGCAGCTGAATGTACCCAGCTTGCTGCTGTACTGTCCACAACTAATTAGCCTTTCTCTGTTAAATAGCCTAAGAATTACAAACTATATGCCTGTTTTGAGAAAAAGTACAGGTTGAACAAGCAGACATAGTATAAATAAAATATTTATATAAAAATAGTCTCTTACAAAATATATTCTCTTATCCTATGGTTGTTTTTTCCAAAAGATGGAAGTTTGTCTGGAGTTCCTTATTTCTAGACATATTCCAAACAAGATTTTCTTAATGCTTCTTTCTTTAATTGATGAAAAAAAGAGTCTGGTAAAGATTTATAACCCCTACCATTTGATTTTAGTTCCAGACAACTAGCAGCAAACAGCAAAACAAAAAAAAAAAGTGTTTGTGTATGTACATATATATAAAGATGCCAGCTTTTGTACTTAAACATCTAGTACTGTAGAACATATCCTGCAAGTCCAACTAGTAGAAACATCCCAGTAAAGAATAATATATACAGCTCCAGTTTTTCCTTGCTTTTTCTACAAAATTATTCCACAAAGAAAGCAAGCTATCTACTTTAATTGCAGAATAGGTCCGAAAATGTTGGTAGAGTTCTTTTTAATTAAATAAATTAATATTAGTTTTATCTGAATAAATTGTTAAATATTGCTATTATTATGCCCAAATGTCCCGAACCCCTGTGCTAAAATCTGCAGCACACACGCGCGCACACACACGCACACACACAAAAAGGCAGATAAAGCAGTGTCTACAGAAAACTTCAACAGTTCTACTTGCTGTAGCAAATGGTATGAAGTAGAAGGATGGGCAAGAGCAGCAGAAGCTGTTCACAAGTGTACGAGCCTAAATCTGTATCATCCACACACTTACATAGGCAATTCACAATGGGGCACTGTCCGTGTCATCCTGTGCAAAGCCCCTTTCTGAAGATTTGCCCCATCCCTCCCTGATCCTTATACACAGAAGTTTTTGACCATCTTTTTCCAAATCAAGAGAGTCAGTTGCCAAGCTCAGAGTTTTTTCTTCACAAGGCAGTAAATGCTTCACGCTTTAGAGGTGCAGATTAGCTGAGATGATCTTTTTCTCTGTTTTATATGTCAGGTGGCTCAGGGTGGTGGGGGGGGTGGTTTTTTTTTTCTTGGCTGACTTTCATAACAGTCTGAAATGTGTATCCATGTAAGCAATGAAACGTGAGAGGGAAAGACAGAGATCCATTCATCAGCGTTTCTTCTGGGAGAGTAGATCTTTGCTACAGTCTTGTGTAGGTACGTTGAGCGCATGTGCAAATGTATTCATGGCCGGGGATATAGAGTCAGCCTGTCCTGCCACGTGCTCATTTACAGGTATACACCTCTGTTCTTTCACTGCACGTGTTACATTTAACATAGCAGCACCAATGAAACTTGCAGTTGCACTGCCACACTCTTGAGTACTGGTGTGTATTGTAACCTCGACCGCAGCACATGAGATCGCAGCCGTTGGACTGCTGGGCTGTCTTGTTGCACATCCTTCCTTGTGTTCCCACGCTGCCGGTGACAGGGTCTTCCTCACAGTAATTGGGAGATTTCTCTATATACACTAAATCTGTATCCATGGGTTTGCGATAGGAAAGTGGCTTCTTTATTTTAAGGAAAGTCGGACGCTTGTTACGACTTGCCCTCACTGGTTCAACTTGAACTGCTTCGTTGTATTTGTCCTTAAGGATGTAGCCCAGCTCCCGGAATTTGGGAAGAGTTGTCCAGCATGTTTTAGTGGTACAGGATCCTGAGACCCCATGGCATTTGCACTCTAACTTCATGTTTTCTTCCAGAATCTAGAACAAAGAATGATGCATTAATTCAAACCAGACTTTATTCAAAAAAGCAGGGTTATCTGATGCGTATCGAATGACAGCCACAGGCTAGACTGCTCTCCAGCAAGAGCTGCTACCACACACAGGTCAAGTTCCCACCAAAACTGTGGATTTTACTTGCTCGCTCCGCTGTTGTCGCAGGTAGCAAATGCTCACCAGTGTCGCCTCAGGTCTACCTGTAAAGCTGATTCCCCGTTTGCGCTCTGACTTAAGCAGGGAAGATAACTCTGCCCAATTTCATAGCCTATGGACCAAAAGTAAAATGGGATCCTTATTAACCATAACGTGTCTTCATATTGCTTTGTTATAGGATTGTATAGTGCTTCATATTTGTCTGTTTTGCAGTTTTGGGCATATGGCAGTGAAAATAGGAACTGGCAGAAAATCATATCTTGGCTATGGCTCCTGCACAAAATATCATAGAATGCTTTGAAAGTGCACTAATATGTACTAGAACTTGATTTTTGTAAACTGTTTGAAACATAAACTTCATTCCCATTCTGGGACCTGAAAATGACATAAGTTGGTGTAAGATGTAAACAAGCAGAAAAGCTCTTTCAATTCTTATCCTCATGTTGGTCTTGCATTAGCCAAAAACGTAGAGCAGATGATTGCTTATGCATACAGACGTCATCCGCTCCAAGATGTTGCAAGTTAATGCTCCAATTTGGAAACCTGAATATTATTTGAGTACACCACAGTCTTACATTCTTTGCACTTTTTGAAGGGTCTGGACTGTTTTGCCTCCTCTCACATGGATAAAAGAGCATATAAAATGCCCAGGCTACTTTGCAAGAAAACTGGCTTTGTCTTGGAGCATAAAGGATAAGAGCAAAGAGGGGGAATTGTTTTCATGTTTTGACATCAATTCTTGTTAAAAAATTTTTACCACCTCCCTCATATTGTAAAAGCTTCTCAAACACACCAACATCATGGCTTGCTCCACCCTGTCTCCCATTCGCTGCTTTGTCAGGGTCTCTCATGTTTGTGCCTGAGTTGTCACTGCTTTTCTTTTGAAGGTAGCAAGCTTCATATTCCTTTCAACCTCTACGTGCCTTGAAACCTTATCCTCGTATCAACTCTCTTCTGCTGCTTGTTTACCAACCCAGTCCTTGCCAAGTAAATCCAGAGTCCAGCTTAATTCCTGCTGTCTATCCTGAGCCCTATAGCCGACCTCACTTAGCAGCAACACTGAGTTAATGCTAGAAAAAAAAAATCTATTTCCAGCACTTAATTTCACAGTGGTATTAGCTTGAAAGAGAACAGAATAATTTTGCTGATTAAATTCTGCTTAACCTGGCAGATACCAGTAGTAGGAAGCCCAGCCAGAGGGATTATCTGGGTTCAAGGAGTGGCCATGTAACTTTTTGCCGTGAGAAGCCCCAGCTGATCCATGCAGCACTGAACACGGGTAGCCCAGCAGGCACGGAGGGAGGTCAGCGATATGGAAGTTGTAAGCAACCCTTTGCTATGCAGTGTTTCTACTGTAAATCCCCCACTTCAGTTTTGGGCTTTTGGAAGACTTACCCCGCAAGCACTGTCTGCCTTTCCAGAAGCACATGGGCTGGCTGCTGCTGAAACTGGCAGTCTGTGTTGAAGGAGCCAAGTCTAGCTTGAGGACTAGATACATGTTTTTGGGGATTTCAAGTCTAAAATCTCAGCATAAATTGGGGATGGAGAAAGTTTAGAGCACATCTTAAGTTGTCCAGCCAGCAAGTAGTGCACTAGCATTGACAAAACAAAACTAAATTCAGTCCTTGGAAGGCTTAAAATAAATAATTTGGAGTCTATACAGAGTATTCTCTTACCTATTAGATCTTGAGGCTCTTGCCATGTCACCTCGGCACAGAAATTGCTATTGCCTAACCTTAGGAGAGTTTGTATCTGCTTTCATACATTGTTCTTCCTCTGCTCCCTTTCAATGAAGAACTGGATTTCAGAGGTATTAAAATATCTTGATTTTTATTTTAGTTCCTGAACTGTCAGTACATCGGGTCTGAAGATTGATTTTAAACCCCTAGAAAGTATAGGTCCAAGATTTTGATGGATGACAACTTAGGGTATATTAGGTCACAGTTTGTATTCTGGTTTTTACATTAGTAATTAAATTTTGGTGCAAACTGTCGGCCTAATAATTGCCTGAAAACTCAGATGTGAGAAAGTTTTATATTCAGATTTGCATCTGCTCAAACTTTGGCTTACGTTTTGCATTATCTTGTTATCTTGAGTTTCTCTCTCAGCCACTGCATACTTCTTTTATTGCTCACTCATTCATAAGGTAGTGCACTTAGAAGATAGATGAGGAGATGGAAAAGAAGTTATAGTGCAGAAACCGGAAAAATAACATAAATTCTTTTAGCCTCATTTGTACCTTTTTAAAAGCCCTTTCTTTTTAATTTGAAACTAGCCAGGAATACATTTCTCAGTCCTAACTCAATCATTGCTCTTGTTCAAGTGGCCTTATATCCTGGTACGATGTTCAAACTTGCAACGAAATATTTCTAACTCACCTTCCATCAGGATCCATCAAATTGACTTGAAATATTAATACAAAACACATTACAGTTTAGTGTCATCTATCCGGGTAGGTTTTTTTCCTGAAGTGTAGCTAAATAGCCCAAATTGCTTTTTGGTTTATTTCATTAGCATGCCATTTACAGTCAGTGACCTCTGAGAGAGTAAGAAAGAGCTGAGCAAGCCGAGGGACTAAGCAGTGACCGACAGGCTTCGTGTCGTGCGTTGATCTTTCTGTTCTGAGTGACATGAAGCCAACCAAAACTAGCTTTCAGGTTTTTTGGTCTCAGCTAAGGCTGGGCACAAGCAGTTAGGGTAAAAAGATCTGGCTTCATCTGAACATAAGTTTGGGCAATACTCCTTGAGCCCAGGTAGCAGGGGTCCTTTTTGGAAGACCACAACTTCTTGGAGGTGTGTGGTAGGGAGGAGGGATATGAAGCGATGAGAAAGAGTTTGGTCTTTTAATGCTGTGCCACGTTCATTGTTCTCAGTTCTTTGTGTCTAAAACTTACTGGCTAACCCTTCCTTTTTTTCTTTGCTCCCCCTAGCTGGGGGAGCATTTCTATTGAGCATTTCATTGAGCTAAAATCACTCCAGTGGCCCACTTTGGGTCCATTGTACTCTGCAATTTAATTTTCAACTCCATTTTTGTCTTTTACAGTCAGCTTCTCTGCCTTTTGCTCACAAACGCTTTCACTGGTTCTGCTTGTATATCCTCCCTCTCGGTTGCTGTCTTCCAGTGTGGTGTTTTGCAAAGTCAGCCAGAGATTAATTGACTCCTATAGCCTTTAGAAAATAGGCTACAAGTGATCTGATCTGTCTATCTTCTGCAAAGAGAAGGTCTGCAATGGTGATTTGATAGTTTTATTCTAGTGTGATATTAGGTGCTTGGACTATTTGTCTTGCATTAAAACATGTGTATGGTGGTATGTTAATACTGTTATATTACTCCAATAGCCTCTGATAAATCAATGACTTTATAAATTCAAGACAGGAGTTGAAAAGGGAAGGGAAAAAAAAAGAGGGGGGGTTCTCTGGGTAGCGCAGGAGGCCTGAGCCTTACCCTTGATTTCTGTGAGCCAAAAGAAGCATTCTACCCCTTAAAAACTTTTTCTGTATTTAAAAAAAAAAAACAAAAAATTCTTCACCTTTAGAGATCAGGATTTGTTTCTTTGAAGGTTTTAGCCAGCAGCTCATACCTTTTACATTAGATTAAAACCTAATTTGTGTTATAGACCCATTTTTTCCTAAAACACAGGAGCCTGAAGGTCACAAAATTGAAATCCTAGATCCTCTGTTTCTTACCAAATGATCATAACCAGCTTCACCAGCCATGGAAAGTAAATCTGTATGCACCAGTGAATGCTCGGAACTGGATTAAATGCTAACAAAGAGCTTGAGTTCTTTTAGCTTTGTCCACTTTTTCTTTGAGTTCCTACAGCAAACTGTCAGTACTTGTTTTTCACTCTCTCCTTTGCCATTAGCCTCTGGGAAATAGTTTGTCTGAGGAAAACTTGCGCTGGCTCTCTCCATTGATGTTATCTTCAGATGTAGTACCTTTGGGCACTGCCATAAGGAACTTAACGTGTTTTTTCTTTACTTAAGAGTTTTGCAGAAAATGCATAGCGTGCGACCTCTGAGGGTGGCAAGTTTTAGCTCTGGGGAACCTTGCTAACAGCTTACAAGCTGCGTGTAGCTAGTGCAGGCACGGTGGCCCTCCAGTGGGCTCAGCTGAGCAAGGGACGCATGCTAGCAGGACCTTGCTGTGGCCCTGCTGAGCTGATGTGTCTGGTTTCCCATGGAGGTGGCAGGAAATGCTGGCCGGTGCGATTCTGCAGTGGAGGGCGTTGCTGCACAAGCCACTGCCACCTCCTGCCCACAGACCGCATCCGAAGCGTGCCCTCCCTTGGTGGCGGGACGTGCGGCACGGGTGCTGTAGTCCTTGGGCAAATGGAGACATTGTTACGTGGCTGGTGTGGCCAGAAGGACTTGTAGGTTTTGTCAACTCAGTATTTCTTATTTGCCAAAGTTAGTGCTCTGCACTTCCCTTGGCTTGCTTCTGCTAGATACGGCTAACCTCCGCAAACGCATTTGCCAGGCTGGGTTTCTCTGACATGGTAGTCTACAACCATACACACCAAGTGACAGGGAGACAGGTACCACCCAACCCTGCCTCAGTCACCAGAACGCTAAAACAACAACGGTGATGTTACCCTGAAGGACTTAAAGCGTGAAATACACTGGACCATCGCACCTCCTCACCAACAGGATTTAAAAGCTGCCTCCCCAGTCTATAGTGCCGATGATTCAGCATTAATATGGCATCAACCTAACAGTGCCCGAGGTCAAGAACCCCTATTGCATCATCAGAAATTATTCAGACTCCAAACAACATGCGAGGAAGATGTAATCAGTGAGACAACAGACGCCGATTCCTGTCCTACCAG